TTGAAACAAAAAAAGTTATGCATTCCATCACGTACATAAACAGTGTCGTAATTCGCCAAGTGCAAATCAGCAAATTCGTAAAATTTTTGTTTATTTTGAACAATCCGGATAATCGAAAATCCGGATAATAGAGGTCCGGATAATGGAGGTTCTACTGTATATAATAAGCAAAAGTATTTGTCTTATATTTGTACAGAAATATTAAACTAAAATAAATCTGTTTGTTCTATTTAACTATCAGTAACAAAAATGTTTGCAAATTAAAATAACAATAAAAATAATTTGACTGTTGATAAAACAAAAATAATGTTTATATCCAACAAAATTTGTTGTTATTAAAACATTATTTTTTTTCCTAATTCAATGTAAATTATAAACTTTTAATTAAATAATATTTCCATAAAACTTTTATTTAATTTATAATTACTTACTTTGCTTCTTGGTTCAGAATTATTCATAACACTTCTTGTTTCTCGTCCTGTATATATCACAATTCCGACAGCAGTTCCCGATGCAATGACAGTATTTGCCCAGACAGTATTTTCTATTCCAAGAGAATCTTCAGCTCCCTCTCCATCATGCTATTAAATATTATATTAGAAAATATTAAAATAATAATTAACAATGGTATAGAATTTAAAAGATTCTTACACGTGTAAATTTTCCAATAAAACTATGTATATCTCTCTTTGGTTCTTCCGCATATATAGATGCATCTATTTGATATAATTCCTGAAAAGTAATATTCAAATAATTACTTTGTTATTCAATATTTTAAAAATTTATAGTGTACAGTCGACCCCCTATAACACTGGTTACTATAGTTTGGATTCCTATATCATGGCAAAAAAATTGCGACAATATTCCAACACGCTAAAAAAACTCCTATAATTCGGTAAAACGTCATCGCCAACTCGTGTCGCGACAAAATTGGTTAAATCTAGACCAATAGTGAATATTGCACAAACCGCTGAGTTTAAACAAGCAGTGGACCTACTAAAACCATTTATTATTTAACGTCCATAAAAATTATATTTATATTAATGATGTCTCCAAAGTTCAGCGAATTTTTTGTAAAAAAAAAATAATTTATCAGGAAGCAGACGAGCGCCATTCGATGACAAGCTCCACGACGAAAACAAGCTTAAGCAATGGCACTGTTGAACGGTGCACACTCGGTAAGTAATTCTATAATTTTTTGTTTATAACATAGTTTATATGGATTATTCCCAAAAAATTATACATATTTTGGAAATGTTGAGTCAAATTAGTCTAGAATCGATTAATTTTATGGAAGAAAGCTTTCAAACAGCCGTAGTCCATAAAATGCATACATGCCGGGCTGTGATTGGCTGGACTCGTAGAAAATGGATTCATAAAAACCGGAACGTATCTACCATGTTATGGGGGGGGGGTCGACTGTATAGTTTTAATTTATATAAAAATGTAAAAAGCTATATAAAGTGATCAGAAAAAATTATTCACTTCAATCATAATTTTAAATCATTTTAAATAAGTTTACATTTAAAATGAATCAGAATTATAAATCCAAATTAATTCATTCAGTTTTTATGATAAAAGTCTACATTAAACAAGACTTTATTTGTTTATATTAAATAATTAGTGTTATAATTAGTTAATTACAATTAGTGCTACAAAAGTGTTATAAAGTTTTATAATAATAAAATAATAATAATAATATATATCAAAATTTAGTGGCTATTTTTATATAAACACTCTCATAAGAAACTAATGATAAAAATTAAATTCACAAAGTATTAAATATTAAAAACTATTTAATAAAAGTTACTATTTTCTCATTAAAAGTTATTATAGTTATGATTGTGTAATTTATTTTGAAAATTATATATTTGATAATCTGAAACAATGTTGCTATTATTTGTTGCTGAAACACTATGTAGTGTGATTAATCAATCACATGGCATTTCATAAAAACCTTTGAAAACTCTGCCCCTACTCAACTGAATAAAAGATGAAGAAATGCCATGTGATCAATTAATCACACTACATAGTGTTTAAGCAACATAAATTAATTATATATACTTTTAGTACATACTTCATTTGATGATAATCGTTGCGTAGTTTCAACAGCCAATCTTAATTTCCAATCAGTTTCTCCATCTAACTGGTCAGTACGAATAAAACAAGCACCATTTTTCTCAGTCGTCCTTAGAAACACCATATCTGAAGGAACTCTCTGATTCTGCAAAAAGAAATGTTAATTATTTATAAGGATAACTAATATTTACTTCTGTCATAAAAAAAACTCTGCATTATTATACTTACTTTCTCAACAATAATCAAATCAGACACTTTAATATCAGAACTTGGCACCTGAATAACTCCTTGAGATGTTAGTTTACGATATTTCTGACTATTGACTTCTTTATCACGACTATATCTCCTGATATCGTCGATTGCTTCTCTAATTAATGTCACAGTTAAAACAAAACCCTAAAATTAAAAAATTTATAAATAAACATTTTTGTGATGGGTTAAAGTTTATAACTTTATAATGTTTTTGATGTAATAATTATATTAAATTCATAGTGTATAATTTTGTTATATTGTTCACAAATTCTTGTATATAATTTGTTAAAATGTAAATATAATTTAAAATGTAGAAGAGATAAAAACAACAATGAAATTTTCCTTTATATCAATATTCTAAAAGAAACTGACTAAATATTTAGAATATAATATAAAGGTCCCTAAAGATTTTGTTATTTAAAAATTCTTAATTAAAGCAAATTGTCATTATATAAAATATTTTGGATGTAATTTTAAAATAATTTATAATAAATGATAAAGTGTTTATAATATCTCCAAACAAAGCCATATAAATATTAAATTCTTATGTAAAAAGTTTAAACTTGTTTGTTTAATTTATATAATTTTTGTAAAACACTATAAAACGTATGCTTACAAATCTTTACAAAACACATTTCATCCATAGAGATCAAATTCAACATTTATTTAGATAATGTAATTATTTAGAGAGTTTAAAAACCAAAACTTTTATTTAATGAAACTTTTTATTTATAAAATATGAAATTATTTTATAAATAGTAAAGTTATAAATTTAAAATCTTGTCTATAAATGAAAAAAAAAAACTATACAAAAAATATTTGTATTGAAATACTATTATTTTATAAAAATATGCAACATTACATTAATGGCTTTGGAACATTCTTCAAATAACCTCTATTAAAATCTGATAATCACAAGCATTTTTCTGAAGTAGGATGCAAGCATACAATCTGGCAAACCGGAAATGGTGTCTTAATGCATTTATCCACCAGATTGGTCCAATAATTATTATTACAAATGATTAAAGAGTTTTTTTACTAACTAATTAATTGTAATATTTTATTTAATGATTAAATAATTCATTAATTAAATTTATCTTTTATGACAGAATTTTAGCATCTAACTAGATGTTTTTTACAAAAGAAATTGAATTACAAATAACTTCAATTTAATACCACAGATGTTCAAAAGAGTAATGGCATCACATTTCATTTGTGTGATTCATGTTCTCTCTTTATTTTGTACTAGCTGTTACCTGCAACTTCACACATGCGGATTTTGCAAGCAAACCCCATTTATATTCAGTATTTCAACAATCATAGTAATTGTTATATAACACCTACCACTGAGAATGATTAGAATTGCTGAGAATCAAACGAACTATTTTCAATTTGATCAATTTTCTGGAACGTTTACAATCATTCTATAATCAAATCAATAAGCAGAAAGAAATTTGAATTTAAAACGGTTCGAACATTTGATTAAAAAATCAAAATATATAAATATTTATAACAATGTCTGAAATGTTATTAATTTAATACACCTAAGTACTCAATGAAGACCAAACGTAATTGAAAACAAAAAATCGCATCTAAAATAGTACAGTAGAATCTGTTCTTCAGGTTAAGCCTTATTTTCTCCCTCTCCCCCATTAAGGGAATTTCCAAAAATTCCTTCTTAGTGTGTGTTTTCATGATGTACCCTAACTGTGTACAAAATTTCATCTCTTTAGGTTCAACGATTTGCTCTGGGCAATGATGAATCAATCAGCCAATCACTCAGTCAGGACAAGTACAGGTAGGCCTCCTACAACGCGGTAGATACGTTCCTTGAAAATACCACGTTGTGGGAAATCACATTATAGGACACACCAACTTAATACAAAAACTGGGATTCGGTTCAAAAAGAGAAAAACTTGACGTTTGAATGGCGTTTTTTGAATTTTTCAAACCAGCCATTGCTAGCCACGAATTTAACACTGGTTTCATCAGCCAATGACTGTCCCATTTGTTTTAAATAATCAAATATTTTTAAGGCTTTGTGTTTAACTGCACTTTTATATAAAGGCAACCGTTTCTTGTTCATATCTACCCATAATATTAGCACTTGTTCCATTTTTTTTTTTTTCATTATAGGTGCTCTCGGACGAGCAACAATTTTCGCAAGAATAGATGATCCGGATGCGACTGAATTCCTGATCTTTTCTTCCTATTGCTTAATCGACTGAATAGTTGACTCATTTAAATTAAAATGCCTACCAATATCAGCTATCCGCTCTTGATATTTAATTCAATCCAAAATTTCTATCTTTGTTTGAAGAGATATATTAATAAATTTCCTTTCTAACGACAGTCCTTTCTTTTCATTCGACATTGATATGGCTAAAATTTTTTCAAGCAGTTTTGTGGACAGTAAAAATCGCAAAAAATAACTTCCCTTCACTATGTTGTTAAAAATATACACCCAATAGAAGTTTATACTGTATTTTGGACCATTTTTGCGGTCCCCACCTATTGAAAGAGTATAAACTATTGAAAATATCAATGGTATATTTGAGTGTTTGTGGTAACTGATGCATATCTGTCTAGATACCGGTCTTCCAATGAAACTTTCATGGGAATAACACGTCAACGTGGACAAACAGCTGTTTTCGAGAACATTTAGCTCTGTACACCGAACTGCTGCGCATATTACGTGATCCGTTGCGATTTTTCTGTTATGTGAAAGATAATTCCTTTCTAAATACCATAAACCGCATTGTAAAAGTACCGCGTTGTAAGGAAATTTCCGCATTTTTCCAACAGCGTTGGAGCGAAAACACGTTGTAAAGGTATCGCGTTGTAGGAGGACTACCTGTAATATTTTTATACTTAGATTTTCATTAGTTAAGTCTAAGCAAATAAATTTTGAAGTGATGAGTAATTAATTATAAATCAGTTTATACCGTAAAATGTTTTTCAAAATTTATGAAAAGTTGTAACTTAACTGACAAATATTTTCATGTGTATTTCCTATTCATATTAATTTATGTAAATTGATATTAAAAGAAAATGCATAATCATTATATTAAAGAATTTACATAAATTATGTCCAAATTTCAATAGTTGATGTAGTAAATGATTATTATTATTATTATGTTGGGTTTTGTGAGTTATACTCGGTTCACACCGATGGTTGTGTACTATGCCAGACCAGAGTCAAGGCATAACAACCAAAACAAAACTAAAATTAAATAAGTGTGTCAGTGTGTGTGTCTGTATTCAAGAATTTCCTAACAATGTGGCATGTATTCAATATAGTGGCTTTCTGTAGTGTGATGTATGTATTTCTACTCAATTGTAATGTTCCCAGGCTTTTGTGTAGTGTGTGTGGTATCACACCTGTAGAGGAAAAACCAACAAGTATAATAAGTACCCTATCCATCCTCCACAGATGCCTTATTTCCTGGGCGAGTTCTGTGCACTTGCTAATTTTTTCAGTGCATGTGTTTTGTACATTGTGAGTGTTTGGAATGGCTAT